TTAATATCCTTATTAAAGATAATTAAAATAATAAATGATCTTATCAACAAACAGATCAGTGATAAATGATTTTGGGCAATATTCTAAAAGATCGACAACATTTTTTGTGATGGATCTTTGGATCTTTCCAGTAAACACCGCTCGTTCTCTGAAGCGCTATCATATATTTTTTTTTGATAGTTTTAACTTATCCCTTCGATCTTTTTCGATGTTTACCCTCTGTTTATAAATATGAAAAGGATTTTTTATATGATTGAGCAGTCGCAAATATATTCCATTATATCATTAGGTTTGTGTTGTTTTCTTATACGCATTATAAATGTGTGATATAGTTCGTATTCAACTAAATACTTTCATTTTTATTAAGCAGACGAATATTAGCATTGATGATAGCCTTTCTGATATCTTCCCTGTGATCGATGGAAAATGATTCATATATTGAATTGATTATTTCAATTTTCTCAATATCATATCTTGACAAAAGGTCGATTTCCTTATACAAATTTTTCAGTTCTTTTATGAAAAAATCATCTCTTGCAAGCACATACAGTCTTAAAAGAAAAATCAAATAATACCATTTATCTTATAATCGACTTTGGATGACATTATGAAATCTAAAAATTACGATAAAGCAGAAATAATGTTAGTAATTCACTTTTTCGATTAAGTGAAAAGTGTTTATAAATATTTAAAAGATCGTCATGACAAAATATAGAGTGTTTGAGGTTGGCATTTTTATTATATTTTTTCAATTGATTTATTAATTTTATTATATTAAAATTATTAAAAAAAAAACAATTTAAATTTATGATTTTACTAATACCCGACTAAACAGTACAATACAATTTATATCAATAATTAAACTTAATCTAAATTCTATACACAATATCTAAATTTATATATTACTTCATAATTTATATTGATAAATTTGGCTTCAATAAAATAAAGATAATCTTATTACTCGTTATTTAATATTAATCGGTTAACAGGAGAGAGCACATATTCAAAAAATAAAGTTATTGTTTTTTTTTAAATAATACTAAAAAAAAATCAAAATAAACGTATTACTATTGTTTATAAGAAATAATGAAGGCGTCAATTTATTATTTTTGTCAATAATTTTTTGAAATGGTCTTTCTTGATTAACAATTAATGATATAAAAATACAATTATAATAATGAGAACAGTAAATAAAAATCAATTGCAAAAATATTTTAAACGTTCTGCGCAAATAACAGATTTTTGTTCTGGCGGGCAAAAGGGAGCCGACATAGGAGCTTTTGATGCTTTTGTTGAATATGTAGAAAATAATCCGAAT